GTATGAGCCACTGGTGCTTGGCAATTACACACTTCTCTTCTTCTTTTTGGTTGGTCTTAGGGCTTGAACTCTGGGCCTCGGTGCTGTCCCTGAACTCTTCAGCTCAAAGTAAGCACTCTACCACTTGAGCCACAGTGCCACTTCTGGCGGTACTCTGTTGGTTAATTGGAGGTAAGAGTCTCATGGACTTTCCTGCCTGGGCTGGCTCTAAACCATGATCCTCAGATTTCAGCCTTCTGAGTAGCTAGGATTACAGGTGTGAGCCACCGGCGCCCGGCTCCGGCTACACACTTAACTGGGCTTCCAGACATTCATAATCTGGCCATAACACACCCATCTGCATATTCCCTACATACAATCAAAGCTATACTATCTAGTTTCTCCCATTTTATATATTACATCATTTATCCCCTGCCTTTGCAAAGTTTTCACCTTTGCTTCTGTGCCTGAAATGTCCTCCTATATCAAACTACCTCAAGACAGTGCTGGTGGCTCATGTTGGTAATCCTAGCTTCTCAAGAAGCTGAGATCTGATCTGAGCATCTCAGTTCAAAGCCAGCCTGGGAAGAAAAATAAGATTCTTATCTCCAATTAACCAGCAACTGGCTCAAGTGGTAGGGCACCAGTCTTGAGTGATAAATCTAAGTGCTCCTGGGCCCTGGATTGCAAGGATTTTACACTTGATATCTTATTTTAAGCTGGGCTACATAAGCAAGACTTTCCCCCCAGCAACCCCCACAAAAATCCATTTGAATTATTTCCACACTTCTTTCCAGATAGTATACTTTGAATTTCTGTGCTATTCCTGAGGCTTGAACTCAAGGCCTGGGCGATGTCCCTTAGCTTTTGTACTCAGAATAACATTCTACCACTTGAGCCACAACTCCACTTCCAGGTTTTTGGTGATTAATTAAAGTAAAAATCTCAAGGGATTTCTTGCCCAGGTAGACTTCAAACCTTAATCCTCATATTTCAGCCTCCTGAGAAGCTAGGATTACAGGTCTGATCAACACTTGGCAGATAGTGTACTCTTGCTTCTGCACAACTTTGGTCTTTCCTAGGTTTCATTATGTGTGTATTTGTGTATGCCAGTACTAGGGCTTGAACTCAGGGCTTGTAGCACTTTCTCTAGTTAATTAGAGATAAGAGTTTCATTGGATTTTCCTGTGCAGGCTGGCTTTGAACCATGATCCTCAGTATCCCGAATAGTTAGGATTACTGGCATGAGCCACTGGGTGCCTGGCTTATTAGTTTTTTTTATAACAATGTTCATGCCAGGCATCGGTGGCTCATGTCTGTAATCCTAGCTACTCAGGGTGCTGAGATCTGAGGATTAAAGTTCAAAGCCAGCCTGGGCAGGAAATTCCATGAGACCTTTTTTTTTTTTTTGGTCAGTCGTGGGGCTTGAAGTTTGGGCCTGGGCACTGTCCCTCAGCTCTTCAGCTCAAGGCAAATGCGCTACCACTTGAACCATAGTGCCACTTCCAGTTTTCTGGTGGTTAATTAGAGATAAGAGTCTCATGGACTTTCCTGCCCAGGCTGGCTTTGAACCTTGATCCTCAGATTTCAGCCTCCTGAGTAGTTGGGATTACAGGTGTAAGCCACCAGTGCCTGGCTAGGAGAGGGTTTAAATATGAGAAAGAACATGAGCTCATATCTTATCTGGAGCACTATAGCTTCTCAGAGCAGAAGCAGATGTGAGGGAAGGTTTAAGTTGGAATTAAGAGACCAATTACAAGGTTAAAGCCATTAACACACACACACACACACACACACACACACACACACCACACAGATGTTTAGGTTGTGGCTTAGATGGAGATGAAAGTGTTGAGGTAGTATAGGATTCTGGACATATATTTGGAGGTGTATAATTTGCTGACTTACCAGATACCAGAAAGCAGGATGTGCCTGGGAGAAAATTCAGGAGCTTGATTTTTACATTAGTCTGAAATCCTTATTCAACATTCATTTGGATACATACTAGGCAGTTGGAGAAATAATTATGTGAGATGAGACCAAGAGGAAGACAGAAACTTGGGATTTGTCAGTGTTTGAGTCTGAGATGGCATGGAAAGTAGAATGGAAACTTATAGAATGAAAGGTCACATTCTACAAGTGTGCCACCCTTCCCTTCCTTGGTATTCCTAAGCCCAATAGTTTCCTTGTAGATCTAGGGTCATACAGCTTGGTGGAGGAGAACTAGGGCTCTCCTGGCTTCTGAACACTCTCATACCCCTGTGTTCAAACTTTATTGTGCTTAATGCTTTAAGGCAGAGACAGTTTTATTCATGTCCATACAGATTTCTTGTTGTTGTTATTGGACATGGGGCCTGAACTCTGGGCCTGGGCGCTGTCCCTCAGCTCTTCAGCTCAAGGCTAGTCCTCTATCACTTGAGCCATAGCGCCAGTTCAGGCTTTTTTCTGCTTATATGGTACTAAGGAATCAAACCCAGGGCCTCATGCATGCAAGGCAAGCACTCTACCACTGAGCTACCTTCCCAGCCCTTCATACAGATTTTTTTTTTGTAGGTTGTGGGCTTGAACTCTGGGCCTGAGCGCTGTCCCTCAGCTCTTCAGCTCAAGGCCAGTGCTCTACCACTTGAGCTACAGAGCCACTTCCGGTTTTCTGAGTGTTTACTGGAGGGAGATAAGAGTTTCACGGACCTTCTGCCCGGGCTGGCTTTGAACCCGGATCCTCAGAACTCAGCCTCCTGAGTAGCTAGGATTACAGTCATGAGCCACCAGTGCCCAGCTTCCATATAGATTTTTAAAAGTACATTTCAGATAGAAAAACCACATTAAGAGTAAAAATTTTTGCATCTGGGCGTCTGTGGCTCAGGTCTGTAATCCTGGCTACTCAGGAGGCTAAAATCTGAGGATTGCAATTCAAAGCCAGCCCAGGAAGGAAAGTCTGTGAGACTCTTATCTCCAATAAACTATTCAGAAAAAGCCAGAAGTGGCATTGTAGCTCAAGTGGTAGAGTGCTAGCCTTCAGGACAGAGAAGCTCATGGACAGAGCACAGCCCCTGAGTTCAAGCCCCAGGATTTGGGGTGGGGGAAGGTAGATTTTGCAGCTGGGTGCTGGTGATGGCTCCTACCTGTAATGAGAGCTACTCAGAAGACTGAGATATGATTAGAAAGGGCAGGGAAGTCCCAGAAACTCTTATCTTCAATTAGCTATCAAAATAGCTCTGAGTGGAAGTGTGGCTCAAATGGTAAAGCACTAGCCTTGAGCAATTCTCTCCCCCCTACCCCAGGCCTATAATCCTAGCTACTCAGGAGGCTGAGGTCTGAGAATTATAGTTCCAAGCCAACTCCCGTGGGAAAATCCATGAGACTCATCTCCAATTAACTTCCAAAAAGCCTGAAGTGTAGCTCTGGCTCAAGTAGTGTTTGCCTTGAACCAAAATGGCTCAGCACAGCCCAAGACCCAGAAGGGACACCTTCCCCCCTCCCCCAACACACAGTTAAAAAAAAAAGTCTTTCCACAAGGAACTCTATGAGAACTAAGATAGCTAAGTTGCTTGGAAATAAACATGGAGGGATAAGAGGTGCCCATACAGAAGGCCCTAAAGAACTGCTGCTCCTCACAAAGGTACATTTCTCTGCAGAGGTTTCCTTCCTGAGCTTCCTCCTGCATAAGAGGCTAGCTGGGGAGGTGGCCGTTGGGAAAGATCTGTTGGTAGTTGACAGGCAGTCCTACATCCTAAGGAGGTTTGTGGCAACAATTCCCTGGGCAGCAGACATCATGGATTTTCCTGCCTCTGGGGTGCAGAGGTCCCTCTGTTTCTGTTGTGGGTCCTTTAACAAAGAACTTCATTCTCTCCACACCAAGTGTGGGGCTGGCAGGGAGCGTAGGGGGTGAATGGGTTAGAGCGCCTACCCCAAGCAACACGCAACCAGCTCCAAAGAGGAGCCTGGATCCTGACTGGTCCAGGAGGCGCGCCGCGCTGGGCCCCTCCAGCGTGCGCCAGGCGCGTTGCCAAGGCGCCCGGGCAGGGCGACCCCGTACAGGCCGGGCTCGGTGGAGCGCTCGGCACGCGGCTACGAAGGGGCGGGCGCCATCTACCTCACGAGCCCCTTTCCTTTTTCTTCCCTTCCTTTTCTCCCACCTCCATTCCCTCGTGCGCTCCGTTTTTCCTGGGGAAGCCTCCGCATTCCCCAGCTACCAGCGGCCGCCCTCGCCCTTCTTTCCCTCCGCCTGACCCTCCCCAGGCCCACCCCTCCCGGGGCTGCCCACCTTCGCCCGCTCCTCCGCGCGCTCCTCGGTCTCGGCCTCTCATCCCCGGCCTCCCCGCGCCGGCCCCCTGGGGGGGACCCTGCCCGCCCCCCCCCTCCGGCGGCGGCCGGGGCCCCTTTCACAATAGTGCGGCCCGACTCCCTCCCCGGCGCTCGCCGTGCGCTCCCGCCCGCCGCCCTCCCGGCGCATGCGCCCTCCGGTCGGCGGTGGCTACGGCGGTGGCGGCTGCGAGCGGCTCGGTTTTTTTAAAGGGAAACGCTGAGGCGCCGGGGGTGACTGTGGGGGGAGGGGGCCCCGGAGCTGCAGAGACCCCCCAGGGGAGGCAGCAGACCCCCACCCGGAGTAGGAGGGCTTGGGGCGGACCCTTCCCTTCCACCTCCTCCTGAGGAGGAGGAAGGGGGGAGGAATGGAAGCTCGGGGCGGCTGAGGCGAGCTCCGGGGCGGG